GATTTATGGGTCTCATCTGGCAACCATCGCGGTGCTCGCATGAGCATCCTAAATGGAAGCCGAATGCATGGCGCATTCGATATTTAGTCTATTTTTAGAACCTCACGATGCTTTCTGCCTAAAACCGATATTGATCGAGAGTTTGATAGAGCCTAAAGCAGCTGGTAATCTGTGATAAGCAGCTCAGGAATTCCGTTTACGATTGCGCTGACCTTTATGAGTTCGCGGCGTATCTAGTGACCAAAAAACGATCTATGGGACATTGATAAGGAAACCGTTTAAATATCACAAAAACCGATGGAAAGCTGAGCAATTTATTGATGAACTCTAATAATATGCAAGTTATGGCCGATAAAACAGATGCTTCTAGCATCTTCAGATGAAATCCTAGTTAATATTTATTTATGTGTTTATTAAGCGACGTAGGATGCCATACAAATTACAAGCTAAAATTTTCGATCGCCCGATTCAGTGGAGAGAAACGCAAAGCTGTCGTACGATCGGGATCGTTTTTAAAGCGGTATGGTTTCATCTGCACTGAATTCATTGGCTCCTTTTCTGAGAGAAGCTATACCTACGAGAAAAATCAAGAAATTCATTTCAGTTTCAGAGTGATGAGTTTAGACCGAAAAGAAGACGAGAGCATCGCGCTTTCACAATTGCCGATCAATAATTTCGTCAAGAAATCAGTGTTTTTCAAAGGCTATCAATACAATGTCGATCTCAGAATGTTGGTTAGTTCGATATTCTACAATTTTCTCCGGAAGAAACAGAATTCCGGTCCAAAGTTGCTCTTCAGTCGAAGACTGTTTTGATGGTTTAAAATTATTTTATTTAGTTCATCTAACTTGACTTGAACTTGAATTGATCTCAACTTTGATCCTATACTCGTGAAAAAGCCCACTGAAAGGACAGTGACGCTTTGAAGGTAGTACTAGCCAGCCGCTCACCATACCAGAGTTATATAGCCTACAGAAAGTTACACATGAAAATAAGACTGTGAGAGAGGTAGTCCACTTTTGCTTAAATGTGAGTTCAAAAATCTCTACAGCTCCCGAACAGGAATGGACTTCACTCTCTCTTTTTCTCAAGTCCTTTTATTTACCATTTTCCCTCCTTTTTATTTATCATTTTCCTTCTGATTCCCAGCTTTTATAATGAAATAAAAATGTTATGATCAAAGAATTGCATTCAGAAAAACAATGACAATGACAGTATGCCTCACCTGGATTTTGAAGATCTGCTAGATCTCACAAGGAGTTTATACGAGCACGATGCAGAAGGCGTTGTGAGTGTTCTGGTCACATCAGTTCTCATTATGGCTCTAAAATGAATTATAGAAATTCTTTAAAAAATTGAATCGTTGCATAGACAAGCCCCAAGCCTTTCGCATGAAAACAAAAAGAGTGAAATAATTCATTGAGATAAATTGAACCAAATAAAACGAGTTTTGTAAGGAAAACAAAGTAAAGTGAATGAGCAAAGTATGAGAATATTTCACAAAAAATGCTCTCCACATGAAATACTGTTAAGAAACATAAAACACTTTAGTTTGTTGCTATGAAGGAGGTTGAGTTCAATATTTAATTTTAACAGATCCAATAGTTACAAACTTTAAACCATTTTGTGAACGGCAGGGATAAGACGTTCCGTTGTGGATATCAGGCGGACGGCGGCACATTACCCAAATTACTTTCGAATTTAACTTAAGAGTAACCCGAGTGAAATTTTGTCACAGCTATTTTACAAATCTGCTACAGTGAATTACTGCTGAGACCTTTCACAAACTGTTACTTGTGATCATACTTATCGATCTATCTTCAGAAATGCTACTTTTCTGGAGCGCTATCCGACGGATCCTTCTCACTTCTTCACTGCACTTCCAAATTTTTCCATATTTTGCCAGAAGTCCTGAGAATTGTGTATGTTCACCCATGTTCGACTCTTAATGAACCTTGTGTATGTTCAAGACATACATGTGTTTTTCAATATACTACTATCCTTTAAAAATGGGTACCTAGGAGGACGATCGCAACTCATTGTTGATCTCCACAAAATTGGTGTTCCGTCGCTATCCAATTCCTAGCCATTTATTGCTGATTTCGAGAAACTCGTTGGTTGCCTCTCCTCTGCATCATTAACCAAGACAGCAGCGCATTCATCCTGAGCCAGTGCTGGAGATAGTGGGTGATTATGGCTGTCGAGGGCATCGGACTGGACTTTTGAAAATATGAAAAGAGACGTTTTGTTTAAAATTAAGATAGCCGAGATTTTTATCCAACCTGAAGTAGAATAAGCTCAACTTCGAAATTCTATGATTCATCCATAGCTTGTGGTAGTCACAGCCCTCTCTTCAATTCCTTTTTGATGAAGCACAGCATATCGAAATTCACCCTTTACTCACCACACTACCCCATGTTCACGCTTGAAACTTCCCTTTGAACGCTAAACTTATCCTTTCAGAACATTGTCGATTTTTCTTGTGTGGGACTCTTCAAAAGCGTCTCTTGAGGATGTCGCTATCACACGACTCGTTAAGAAGCTGAAATCCAAAAAGGACCTTGTGAGGACGGACATGCTGGTAAGTCAGCGATAAGGATGGTGAGTGGAGTATGGGGAAGAGGTGATTTATCCTTCCGGTTACCACGAATTTTGATGACTAGGACACATATTTATTCCTTTAGAGCCCACCTGCAAAATCAATAGACAGTATGAGTCGACATCACTTTCCATATTTATAAAAGGTGTTTTAAGGAAAGCTCCTTGGAACACCTGGCCGAGTGCGTGGTAGCTGAGCTTCGTGACGTTCTTCAGCAATTTTCCCACGAATCACTATTTCCACCAGATGGCTACTACATTTTAAAGAGGATGAATATTGCCCTCAAGTAGGGTGTTATTGCTAACATGGGAAGGGATAAGGGTGCGAAGTAAAAAATGCCTTGAAACTGCGTGATGCAGGGTTGTGACTGACATCTGTATGCTGCCAATATGGGATCTGTACGAAACGCACGATCCATCATCAGCATTGACCGAGCAACTCGTCCACATGGTCACCCATTGTGTCGAAGAATGGATGCAGCAGGAGCTCAAGGTGGAAGTCAAAGATTTAAAGGTTGGCTAAATGTTATAAAATAACGGGAAGTTACCACAAAATTACCCTGTTCAGGAAGAATGGATGACAGTGCAGAAGATGTGGGAAATGATGCAACGAAACTACCAGAGCTACAACCTATTTTTTCATCAATTCAACATTAATTATGTTGATCTCGTCCTAAAAACTATTGACGAAAAGGTCAGATCCTAGTACATAGAATATCGAATCTTCGCGCTTTTAACAAGTCCTTCCTTTCAGTTGGAATCGTTCAGTCGTAAGTACTTTCAGGGAACCAGAAAGCCTAATTTGTGATACAATGCTGCTTTTTATGGTGTTCACCCTATTTGGACAAATTAGTCGTCGTACAATTAGAGCGCTTCTGTTGATATGACCAGTCAATCCAGTTGTCTTTAGTACCCATGGAATCGTACACTTGATTTGCTTCTTCAACCAACATTTTCAGTGTGAAGAACCTACGGCTGTACGAATTCGAGACGTGGTTTCTCGATGTGACCGTATTCTGGACACATTCGTGGCGGGACATCAGCCTCAGAATGGTTAGTAACGATATCTGAGCTACTCTGACATGTTCCGTACCGCATTGCTTCAGTTCAGGTAAGTCGTACAATCTCTCTGGACAACGACGGTGACGGCACGAAATATGAACAACGTCGTCCACTTCCTGCTGGTTTATACTCCTTTCTGTGCATCCAGAAAGGTTCGTTCATTGGAAAACACAGCTTTCGCAGTGACAGATTATAGTGAACACGGTATTGGTTCTATTCCCAACCTCTATTTTGTGGTTTCTACAAGTTGGCTTCAAAGTATGGCCCAGTAATTAATCGCTCACAAATTTATTTAATAAACACGATCCATAACGAAACTTGACTATCCTTTAAGCAACACGAAAGAATCAATTATGTGAGGTATTTTTGAAATGGTCTCCTTTTTATTGAATACAAGCTTCCAATCTCTTTGTGTAGGCATCCTTAGTGATAGTTGAAATCAGGTATATGATATCAATCTTTTCCTAGTTCCTCTCTTGCGCTGCTTTCAATCCACTCAAAATGAGGTGAGCAGAAGCAGGCACTCCCTGCTGTAGATAGCTCCACACGAATAGTCCATTGGATTCAGGTCTCGATCTCGAGAGTTAGATGGCCACATATCCTTATCCAAGAATCGTGGGAGGTGGAGTTGCACAAGGAGATCGTTGTTTTTGTTCCACGAGCTGGTGCGCTGTCTTGATGCAAAATGAAACTTGGCTGAACGGCAAAGTGTCTCCTGGCTCATGACATCAAATGGCTTTCAGAATAACATTTTGGTAAATTTCGGAACTGATCTTAATGGTTCTACCACAAAAAAAGCAAGAGCAGTTTTTCCTTCAGACGCCATCTCGGCCCAACCATCACTGACTCCAGAAACAGGCTTCCTTCTTGACCTTTGTGCAGGAGTTCCTTCCAGTCCAAGACAGGAGCTTATGATCCGGCTATTGTGGACAACTTCGACGGTGAATATTATTTTGCCAGTACATACGATATCTGAAAGGCGATCCTGTAGACGTGGAAGCAGTTTTTGGCACCCTTCGAGCCTATCTTCTTAGCAGCTACGGACAAGGTCTGTCCTCGGAAGAGGCGATAACTGTATCGATCCAGATCTTATGTGACAACCTTCTGAACACTTCGGAGCGGAATAATTGAATCTAAGGAAGTCCGTACAAGCAGACTTGGCTGTTGCGACAAATCCTTTTCTTGATCTTCCGAATCCGCGAAACATTAGCAGCTCTTAGACGGCCCACTTTCGGAAGCGGCAGATGTTGTCCTTGTATTGCGCCTCTATTCCTCGAACTGTTCTGTCGTTGATAGGAAGTCTTCTCGCAATCTCCTCAGCTGAAAATCCCTGTTCGACAAGGTGCGCAATGGTTGTTCGATGTGTATACGATCACATTTCTTCTTGAACGTAATCGAGGAGTTTCCATATATTGGTAACAGTACATGTTTGGCCTGCTTTACTCATGCATATGTCATAGAGCTCAAGAGTTCATACGTTATCAAGAACCATGTAGAGTTGGCGGACCATAGTTTTTGGTCTCCCTGTACTTTTAGACGGACAATGGCACTTATGGCCCAGATCAGTGCAAAGGGCTAGAAGAAAATGCGAAATTCGGGGAGACAGAGGTTGCATGAATGGTTATTTGGAACTGCTGTGAGTCACGTCAAATGCCTTACATTCATTCGAATGCATTTGAAAAAGCAAATGGGAATCGAGTGCGATGGAAATTTCGTCGCCTCGGAAAGAAGAACTTCTTTTGATTTCGCTCCACATACCAGAGATGAATTTCAAAACTTTCTCCGAATACTAGTTTACTTCAGGTCTTTCTGATGACTATTCAATGTTGGCCTTCAAACGTCCAGAGAACATTGTAATGGGATCTATATCATTGGTGCACGTCAGTACCCTTCCAAATAAGAAAGTTTGAAAATTACGACAGTACTGACGCAGAGACATTTCCAGATTTACTCTGAAAACATCTACGCGTACGCTAAGAAGCTCCACAACGATGCATTAACGAATGACTCTGACAAGGTTAGCTCAAAAATAAACTTTCGCTACTTAGCATTTAGGATCGATTATTCAGGAGTCTCGTGTGATCCGTGCTGCAAACGGTATTGAACAAGCCCTACTGTTCGTGTCGGAACGATGGCGACGATTTGTCGACTTCGACCGAATGGCAGCTACTGTCCCTGCTGAAGAGATTGCCGTTATAGAGAAGTCGTGTGAGGAGGTTTTTGAAAGCAGTAGAAGGGTGAGTCAGGCAACATGTTTATCGAGCTTCTTACAATGAGAAATATCACCACACTATTGGAAATAACGTTGAGAATTTGCTAGTAAGATCAATTCTCAAAGCCTGCTCTCTTCCTCTTCTGCTCCTTCTTAATTCCAGCGTTCATTTCGTTCCGTCGCGTCAGCTGAATTGTCAGCAATTTCCACTCTCTTGTCGAGGACATCTTCCACCTCGGTCTCTCGATCATCCCATGGTTTTCTTCTTGGTAGCTTTTTGAGTCTGTTTCCTTCAACATCAAAAACCACTGCTCTTCTTACCGAGTGTCCCTGAGATCTACTCAGCACGTGTTCTCCTCTTGGAGGGATGTTGTATGACCTTCCGTCCCAGCTCTAGTCGCGTACGACCGCGCATCTTCTTCAGAAAGACAGAATTGTGTTTTTCGATTCTCGCCTGAGGGCCAGCACTCGCTGCCATGAAGCATCGTAGACCTCACCATTGCATGGTATATCACCAACAACCAATGAGTATACTCTCTGCATGTTTTCGAGGAAATTTCACGCTACTCTCCACTCCAAAACTCTTTTCAGAGATGTGAACAGATTATAGACGGGCTTTTGCGAATATACTGCCGTAGCAAACGTGATGATGTCTCCAGAATTGCTCGTAATATCACGTTGGAAAGCTATGAACATAACAAGAAACTGGTGAGTGACGGCCGTAAATCGAATGTCTTCAGGTATTCTAATGTGGTTGAATTCAAGGCTGTATATATGCGAGAAGTGACTCCAATAGAGAAAATGCATGCGAATCTAGACAGTGTAGAAAGGATGGCTGGCGACGTTCGAGCAGATTTACTTCCAAGGTGAGGACAGATTTTCATGTACTGTACATCTATTATATATTGAGCTCGTCCTTTCGAGTAGTATCCATTGGCGTATGAAGTTATGCTTGACTAGCTGACAGCACGAGACTATTCCTGGCAAGATGTCTCGGTGTTAGCTAGGAGGCATACCGTCACATACTTTCTTGCCAGCTCTTGAGTGGCAACTTAACTGTTTCCTTAACTTAAAGTCCGTCAGGGAGTCTTAACCTTGATAGTATAACCTTTTACTCGCGAATGAACAAACTCAATCAACTTTTTGAGGATTCTGCCACAAAAGCTCGACATTGCTCTGATTTCTCGCAAAGATTCTCTTGAAGGGTTCGCAAGAGAATCCAAAGTAGAATCGAGCTTTTGCATTTTTAGGAAATTTATGAATTGAAAAGCAATGTTCAGATGCTCGCAAATGGCTTACAGTATTTTGCACAAAATGCTAGAATCTGAAATCCTTCGATATTTGAGGAAATTCCAAAATCCTGATTACTACACGGAAATCTACGTAAGATAGACTTTGTTATACATTATTACCATTTGGGTTACTAAGAAGAAGGCGTTGCAGGTATCATTGAAAGCGATCTCTAGCATTCTGGAAATTCCACCACAATTTTCCCAAGTGGCATCTTTAGTGCATATGTACAGTTTCACCACCACCGAACTCATTCTCTCATATTACGCCAGAATCTCGGAAGATCTCGAAAGCAGCAGCAGCCAAAGGTCAGACAATTAATTAAGAAATTCACTTTAACAGCATTTTTTCTTAGTGATCGAGGAACAACTTTTACTTATACCAATTTCATATAACCAAGCACCGAATACACGACATACATATTTCTCTTTTCGTGTTAACTTGCCTATTTCGAGAACTTTTCTTTTCACCTCTTCTCTACACTTCCCACACCTCACCAGCCCAATTGAAAAAGCCAAAAATCAGTGTGGCCATTTTCTGGAAGCGTAAACAATGCTGGTTCTTGAGCCCTAGCCCAGCAAGTATCAGTCACAGTGACAGTAACATTGAGAAAGTTCAGGGGACAGGTTAGAGTTACTGATGTATCCCAAAACGGTATTCACCAACGCTGAGCAGCTTCAACGTATATGATTAAGGGTAGCAATAAAAGTTTCGCGACATTATGTTGGTTTTAATGTGTTAAAATTTAAGTGCCTCCCGCATCAGCATCCGAGTCGGCTACATTCCAACCACGGGTGACAACGTCTTGGTCATAATTAAAGGTAAAGCGAACAATCTTATAGAGTGGCCATGCCATCTCCCTAGTCCTCACTACATCTGAAACATTCTTTCTGTTTAGCTGTCGCTCTGGCTAATTGCGTGTCCAAATGTCTGTCCACTAGCTACCTTTCTATCTATCCTGCCTGTGTCTGTCTGTGTGTCTATGTCTGCCTATCTGTCTGCCTGCCTGCCGGCTTGTCTATCCACTTGTCTGCCTGTCTATCCCCTGTCAGTCTCGTTTCTCTTGTATGCACGTTGTTATTACTTGAAGAAGTGAGAGGACGGGACAGTGGTGCCTGTGAGTTATAGGGAAATGACGTAGAGCGCGGGGAATACGCACAGAGCTTGACCGAGTTCCATCTGCGGGAGACGGGACGAGCAATAACCCATCGCACAACAGTAAATTAAGTGACCTGGTCAAATTTGAAAGTTGGAAAGAACTCATTGCATGAGTAAATCATGCCTTCGAACAAGCATTGTGTGAAAAAATAGGAAAATAAGACAGATCGCATATCTACGATGCATGAGAACTGCCAAATCAAGCAGGATTAGTCTAGGCATACCCACCAAAACTGCCATGCTTGTCCTAACACTGCTTTAATCGACTGGCCTTACCTTGATACATCCATTTCACCACAAGCAACCTACATATGCATGTACTTCCGAAATATATATTTTCTCGCACCTTGCAGTTTTTATATCCAACTCTTGTGATTTAGTTCTTGAACTCGAGAACGTACCCGCACTGAACACTCTATGCGATCGAGTTGACCCATACGTTCGGCTCGAATTGCTTCCCGCATGTCTCTATCCACCACACTGCTTTCCTGTACAGAAAACGCGAACACTCACACAATGCGAGAACCTGAAATGGAACCAGGATTTTCAATTGTAAGTTGAATGAGAATGCTATATGAAGCGTTAGTATACGAAAATACGAAAGCTATACGTTACCCGCACTGAACACTCTATGCGATCGAGTTGACCCATACGTTCGGCTCGAATTGCTTCCTGCATGTCTTTATTACCCGCACTGAACACTCTATGCGATCGAGTTGACCCATACGTTCGGCTCGAATTGCTTCCTGCATGTCTTTATCCACCACATTGCTTTCCCGTGCAAAAAACACGGACACTCACACAATGCGAGAACCTGAAATGGAACCAGGATTTTCAATTGTAAGCTGAATGAGAATGTTGTCCCAAGTGTTAGGTGCGAAGAATTTCGCTTTCTATGATTGCCATTTCAGTCTTGTACCTCAGCAACTCTTTTACACTCATGGCTCTTCACTTTGTATCTCCGTTTTGGATCACGATCGGTTTGTTTTACTAAACTAACTGGTTTTAACTGTATTCCTACAGTGTACAACAGACAGTCATCAAGTACGGCATTTCTTTCAAATTCATGCAATGTTTAATGCGCTTCAACAGTAAGCAATTAATTCGAGGAACCCAGGACGATGTATCTTTAAATCCAATATTAGTAAAGTCAGTCACGAAAATGACCATAGTTCAGTTATAGATACAGTCACCCGTTTACAAACTAATTAGAGCAGATCAAGAAACCAAAACCCTCCTTTTCTCAGAGAATAAGTAATAAAAGAAGTGTAGTATCACCTTAGAGCTCGATAAAACAAGGAACGCGATCTTTATACATAATCACTTCCTAAAGTTAAAGAGCAAAGTACCATGCATTCAAGCAAAAATCTTTCAGAGCTGAATTCTGCAAAGCTTAGTTCAATGTGAAGTTTTCACCAGAGAATTTGTATGTAATGAAGGACAAAACTGTAGCGCAGGAACGAGTATATGAATACTGTTGACTATCCTACAAAAGCGAGGAAAAAGCGAGAATAGTCGTTCATATTCTGAGTATCTTCCGAAGATGGGCTTAGCTCGAAATCAATATACACTCTGGAAACTTCTATTGTAAATAATAAATAAAAATGAGACAGACTGAAATGTACAAGAAATAAGCCTTTGAAAACGCTCACATGTCAGTGTGATCCTTCTGCAGGCAAGAAAGGTAAATGACCACACGCTCACATTTTCACTACGTATAGCTAGCTACATTATCAGAGAACATCCCATATATAAAAATCATACATAGATACAAGAAAGGATAATTCACCTTTTACAGAATTTGTGACGAGTTGATCGGTCGTGCATTTTTATCCACCAACCTACTGGAACGCATTGACTGTCTGTCCGTTAAAAAGCTGCCCCCACCACATGCTCTCCGTTTGAGTCAACCGAGTGTCGGACATCGATTACCGTTCTATAAAGTAAGTGAAATTCTCAAATATAAGTCACACTTTTAAAAAATCGAGTTCACTCGGTTGCTCCTAAAATTTCCTATTGAAAATCTGGTCAGCATGGATAAGATTCATTAAACACAGCATTAACAACGAACTGCTAATGGGATACTACAAATGTAAGTCCAACAGAGGTTCTGAGGAAAGAAATATGGGAGCAAAAAAGAAATAAAAAGAAAAAATGGAAGGAAAGAATGAAAGGATGAAAATGATTTTCGAGAATCTTCCACCGTAACTTTTTATTTCCAGATGCTCAAGGAACGCAGTCAACGTGACGACATCGCTAAGGCATTTATAAACCAGGAGAAAACCGCTAAGAAGATGTACTTCAAATGTCTGTCGAGACGATTTTCTACAGGTTTCAAGAGCTTCAAAAAGCATAGCATTTAATCATTTAATTTACAAACACGTCACCATTACCTCAAAAATGTAATTGATTGTACGCTGAATCAGTGTTTACTATAAAATATGCTCATTTGTAATAACGAAAATAGTAATGTAACTATACTGTCATCAAAGGAACTTAAAGCTAAGCACTAGAACAAACCTTATCAACAACTTGTCTAGTTCTCTCCGGACAAACCTGAGCGTTGAAGAGCAAATCCTAAGGACACAAAGGAAATCTGACTTNTTTTGAATTCTAGCCGAAATCCCGGCTCCGGAATAAGTGATAGCGCGACAGCCTCCAACCAACCTCTCTTTGATAGCCCAGAAACAGAAGCAGACTGGGCGTGCAAAAATAAGAAAAATATTGAGGCCATGCCTTCTAAAGAGGGTACCTACATTGCTGCGAAAATGCTGAATAACCCTAGCCATAGTCGACCGCAGTCCCAAAACTCACACTAAAATTATCACCAAAATAGTAAGTGTCGTAGGGTAAGACATGTTGTCGTGACCATTTTACGACCGGTACGGAGTTTTACGTCCGATCACTCCACGAATGAAAAAAATTTCGCATTAAATAGGTGCTGACGACTTATCATAGAAGGGAGCTCTTATGCAGCTGGAAGCACTATCGGTTAGTCAGACACCAGGCGTACACCAAAAGTAGCCTACAATATTCCACGGAATATTAGTATGCAGGGTAATGATGCAATTTAACAGAAGGGTGGTTAAATTATAACAAGCTGTATAGAATAAACCTTCGCAAATTTTGTGAGGTCCCATGTTTTAATGCTGCCTTCCATTGAAAGCCTGACAGTGGCTACTTAGGAGGACGGTCTTGCTGATAAAGGTCAAAGAACATCGACAAATGGTATGATAATGACGTGGGACCCTTCCACCCAAACAGCATGCCGAATACGCTGCATACGATCTCCGCTGTGAAGGGGAAGATTTAAATTTTTGGTGGGAAGATTACAGAAACTACCGCGAAACCCGTGGGATCAAGCTGGAAATATCGACAGCGGAGATGAGGGAATGCCAGCCAAGGTGCGTTTATACGTGGTGCTCTACTAGCCTTTTGATGCAACTGTAAAAAAGACACCGTTTTCATGAAGGAGATGGAACGATTGTCGGTATTTTCTGGGATCACATGCTGCCTTGTTAGGATTTATCTTCTTCGCTACAAATGCAATTTGTAAACAGTGTGTAACACCATTTCCGCACCAGCAGTGGTCAGCGTCAGCGAACGCCAAGTATGACCGCAGCGGAACTGAAATCGTATTCTGGGTCTTGATCCATACCTTAGAACGTACGGCTGTCAACTTCACACTTTAGCTCAGCTGTCATTCTAGCAAAACGTCAGAACGATAACCATCAAGATTTTAGGTTAAACTGGTAAATGAGAAGTTTAGAACACAATCAGATTATGTTTCCCTTTTTTCTGGTCGTATTTTTGTTGTCCAGGACAAAGCAGCGTTTAACTTACATTATCGCAACAGTACCGCCGATAAAGGTGAGTTATTTGTACAGCAGGCTGACTTTTAATACAGCCATCTCCTCTCAAAAAATATTAGATTTAAAATATTTATTACGCAAAAATCGAGGCGACGCTTTGATTTCAGGAAAAATCACTTCCACATTGATCAATAATCAGTACGGCAGTTGCTGAACACAGCATGTTTTAGGGCGATGCGAGAGAAAAAATAGAAGGAAAGAATTGAAAAGAACATATCGAATGATTTCGAAAAAAAGAAAACATAATGACTATCACAAAACGACTGAGCAAATTTACATACAGTTTCAGGATGTGTTTGTGTGTATGTGAAGTTCAATTGAACTGAAACAAACAATCAAAGACAACGCATGAAACAAAGTCAGATAAAAAATAAACAGCGAATCAATACTGATCAATAAGGCAAGATATCGCGCAGATTTGGCATAAAGAAAGCGCTCAGCTCAGCCACATAATCGATAATCGCTTTCGAAAGGAAAACAAAAAGGATTTGACACTCATCACTGTCGCAATATGAAATACTACTATACAATTTGACAACTTTATGATATACCAATCAATACTCTGAGATATACACACAGGCGGCATCGACGCTCTATGAAAGCAGTGGACCGAGAGAGAGGAGGAGGAAGATGGAAAGGATCAGATCAGGAGAATTTTCACGAAAAATAAAAAAAAAGAATTCCTAACTGGATAGTTATACCCTAAAAACGATACACAGTAATCACGAGTTACACATTTTCAACTACATACAATTGCTAATCAGTATGAATGCCTTACAGCTAGCTATGATGTAAAAAAATAATAATCTCTTCTAAATAAATGAAAACACATAGCAACAACAAAAACATAAACATGCGAATGATGGGATGATATGAAATTCTGATGAAGAGTGAATGAAGCAACAAAAAAGAAAAAGGGATAGCTATCACATATTGTAAGCAACATAAATCGGATCCAATTGATCGTGAAGAAAATTCTCGCGAAGTAGATGGCGTTGTTTCTCGCCTCTAGAGTTTAATGGTATCGTGTTCGGATCCACAACAACCACTACGCCTACTATCAAATAGTGCTCTTCGAGGACCTGTAATAAACCGCCACTCAGAAAGAGGCAATCCGTCTCAGTAAGAAGATATTGTAGAAAAAAAACCTCAGAAATCAGCTGAACTTACCCAAGCTAAAAAAATTTGAAGGCTAAAAAAGCTAAAAAAGAAAAGTTTAGGAAACTACAAGCAACAAATGGTAAAGTATGAACAGCTATGGTGAAGCCAGAGGCAGCAAAATGAAAATGAGCCTCCATATTTACAAGATTTCAAAAACATCCAGCGAACAAGAGGAAGCGACGTAAACGATGAAGCTAGCCGTTCGGTTGTGACAGCAAAACTCGAAAAAATCAACTTAGCATTCAGAACCCGTGTAAAGGGCACGCAATATTAGAAGGCAATCATTAAAAACCAAACTACACAGGAAACCTTTTTTTCAAATCATACGTAATAACCACTTACCGATGACGTGACAGCCGGCACCAAATCAAGTGCATCCATTTCACTTCCAGTACATTCCGCAACAACAACTATCAAATGACTCCATGTGAATACCGCACTAAAGACAAATCATTTTGGACTGCAAAACCATGGCTGACAATACCCGAGCTCCTACCAGTCTCCAAGATGCTTGTGACAGCGGGATACTGTGGATTCGATGTCGACTGGGTGATAACGCATTCCACGGAGCATCAGTGTTTCTTCAAGCGCTCCCACGACAAACACCGCATCATGCAGTTCACCATCTTCAGTTATTGCCTGCGTCTGTCGTAAGAAACCAAGATAGCCGGTGCGAGCGAATCTAAAATATCCCAAAAAAGTAAAAAAAAAAAAAAACGCAGAAACTCCACATTGAAGGAGCAGGTGCTAAAAGATCGCAAAAAAACAAAAAAGCTTCTAATTGATTTTTTGACTCTGCAACTTACTTCGTCATGGTGTCTCCAAAGGCTAAGCGGGCGTTGAAGTGATCGGTATGAAGGCTCGTTTCTTCCCCGTATACTGTAAAATAGCCAACAGCATTGTGAGGAGATGAGACCTGCAAAATGTTTGGAGCTATGAATGATACAGGTATCGATAAGACTCATTAAAATAAAATGCAAAAAAGCAAACTGCAACATAAAAAAATCGAGAAGAACAAAAGAACCTACCCAGATCTCTCCAAGATGTGAATCAGCACACTGCCCACGTGTCTCGGGATTCGCTATTACTACTTTCACACCAGGTAGCAGCTGAAAAGCAATGGGTGCGTATGATTTCATGAAACAACTGTCAGAGGTAAAACTCAAAATCCAAGCCAAAAAAGTGGGGGTACGAAGAAATGATTCAAGTTACATAACAACTGCCCCCCCCCCCACACTCCCAGCCATTAGGCTTCCACCTGTTCTGTTGTTTGACCCACCCACTCATCATCATTTCTTTGCAAAATCCACATAAAAAGGAATAGAAAGTGATAGATTCTCGAGAAAAGAACGGGAGATACGTCCCTTTTTTGTTCCAAGGTCCCTTACTCTACAAGTGTTACCGCAACGGACGGTCTTGCATCTCCGAAACCACTCAATCTCCCTATTCACCTTGAAACAGCCCAATACAGCGAGAATGATGTGACCCCCACATCGTATACTTGACCCTGCCTGCGGATCTCAAATTGATACCCATTGTCACACAAGTAGTATTACAGTAGTCACAAGTAGTACGGTATCAGGCCCTTAGAAAATAGCTTAAGTAGTTAACATGCATGGGTTCGATTTAGACCGACTGATGGGTAAATAAACATATTCGTTAATCAGAACGAATGCTAACCTTTCCGCTTTCCATCAGCAATAAGCTATGAGGTGCTCCTTTTCCAACTAACGTAACTCGATCGTTTCGTAATGCTCTGGCATCCACATAAACACTCGTTGGATCCGGACCTGAGGCTCCCTGCAAAATAAAATTTTTTTATGAAAATTACAAGTTCTTTTCTATCAAAACGCATTTGACAGAAAACGGCCTTAAACCATGACGACTGCTTACATGAAAACAGTAATATGTTGAGTTAGGCTTACCTCTGCTTTCGCTCTCAATTTCTAAATCTACTTCTGTCTTTTTCTATTTTTCTTTTCGATACAGTCTCATTTCTTGAAGTGCCTTTCAACTACAACTTTCTGATAATCTCTTCTTATGGTTCTTTCTACACCGTATCAGTAGTCGTTACTACATATATAACTCTATACCAATGCCCACTTATAGAGTTACCATATTTTTTTATTTTGCAGGAGTATCGAACATTATCACCGTCTTATGAAACATGACGTTTGATATGAACGACAGTCACTTTAGCAAGATTCCAGCATGCAAGGACGAACCGAAAAGTAAGCGCACGGTAAAATTGCCGACAGATGACTTGTCCTTATACATGAAACTGCGGTTCACAATTTATTGCTGATTAATTTTCTTTTTTGTAGAGCCGATTATTTATCTACTATCTACTCAGGATATTCATAATATCAACAGGAATCACTACGACAAAGTTTTGGCATTTATTAGCTACTACCAGCAATTACTCGAAGCTGAAAATTGAGGTATGATGCAGATACCGGCATTCATTTTTATAAGGTTCAAAAGAATAATGAAACAAATCTGTGGATCCAGTTTTTTTATGTAATAGAACATTTATCTCTTTCTTTCACCAAAAAATATGCCCCACCTGCATGCATATGGCAGCGTTCACTCGACATCCGAATGACGTGGACACGGCTCGAGGTGACAAGCCGAGTGGTGCGAAAAGACGGGAGAATGCGTTCACCAGAGTTGCACGTGGCCGCTCTTCGGCAACAACGACACATGTACGAACACTAAAAAGTTGAATATTCAATGTTTCAGCCGAAGATTGAACAAATGCGTTGCCCAGAATGATGGCGACCCACACATCAAAATTCATGATCTCATTTTACATTCCTGCACCGGATATGAAACAAAGCTTCAACATGAAAACTTTTCTTTTCAATCTCAAGCAGTTCCCTTGCAATAGACTTTCGTACTTTTGTACTCAGTCGTTGAATATGTGTAATATATAATATATGTCATTAAATAATAATAATAATATATCAAATGTCAAACGTCACATATGCCGTTAAAGCAAAACGATTACTCGCAAGTCGCTGTTTTATGGGTAACGATCAGAACGTAATGATCGAGCTGCTTTCGACAACGCCACTCGAGGCATTTGAGCGCCAAATTGTGTCCAGACGACTATCTTTCAACTGATTCCCCAAAATTTCTTCTTATCTGGTGGAGGAATGAAATGAATGAACTTGAAGCCAATACAAAAACTTCTGTTACGACTCAACAAATATGCATGATAGCCGTTACTTAAGTTGTGAACTTTACGGAAAAACAATTTTACATAAAATTCCATTATTTTCTCAGCTCCTCTCTTTTATGTAGTATTAGCTATGACTCACACGAGGATGTAGAGCTCCTCCTCGTTGACGCTCCTTAGTTCAACAAACGTGAAGAGAAATCAATAGGTATTCAACAAAGACAACTGTATTACGTCAAAAAAACTTTTGACCGCCTTGACCAACTGTTGAAAGAATAAACGTTGAGCAAGACAGATTTTCAAAGTAGTATTACCAACCATGCAAGATTGACTCCTCTCTCCTTCAATGTAGGCACCTGGGATGCTAGTTCCTGTATGCAGAGACTAAGAACACCATATGTAGCGAACGTGTCTCGAGCTAAAAGGAATAAATTCCAAAGAAAAATCAATAAAGTCAAAATAAAATTCACCTTTCAACGTTGAAACGGTGGACAGCCACAAAGATGGACTAGTTTCCACCTCGGCCGGTGGAATGAGTATGGTATGGTGACCTGAGTAGATGCTTGAAAGACACCACAATGCAAAACCAAGGCCGGAGTACGGGTCCAGGCAAAGGGCTATATGGCGAGAAGGGTAAAGCTCACAGGTCACCTAAAAATCAGCCAAATAGTTAAACTTGAAACTTGCTCAAAGATATAAAAAGGGAAATGGTAAGTATCAGAGACAACCAAATCATACAGCACAAACTCACTTTTAAACTTTTACACATGCTCAAAGCACCACCAACACTTACGATTACACCAACAAGTTGTCCAGTTGTGCTTACTGAGAAGTCCTGAAAACACAAGTATGCCCATCATTCGGGATCTAAAGTCATAAACTCTAACTGCACAGTTTACCAAATAGCATGCATCCGATGGTAAAGATTCTGAGATCTCAGTGTTGGCTTTTCGTTTCCATGAAGCAGGAGAATCTTCGATGTCGAGAATCATTGGCCAGGCTTTCGAGTCGACTCGATGGGCAGCTTCTTTACTCTGAGAACGAGCAAGTTGAAGAAAGGGAAGAAATAGGTAGGACTGAGAGAAAAAGAAAAAAGGAAGAGGAAAAAGAGGAAAAAACCGGCCAGAAAAAAAAANAAAAAAAAACTCGTCTTACCTTCAGAAGCTTGCAAACCGCACTATTTGACACTATGGCTACAGCTTTGCTCACATCTACAATCATTCTCACAGATGGCAAAGTCGTTTGAAGAGAAGCTGCCGATGGTGCACGAATACATACCGGAACCACACCTATAATGTTTCCCCTTGAGTAATGAAAGCCCCTGAAGCCCCGGAGTCCCACGTTTAGGAATCTTCGTAGAGAAAAAATGCAGAAAAGGACCCACCTGCTACAAGGCAGCCATAAAAGGCTGCAATAAAGTCGATGCCCGGTGAAAAAATCAACGCCACATGGTCGCCAGCATTAAGATGACCACGCTCAACGAGGAAAGCACCAATTCGCTCTGCTCTTCTACAAGTAAAGAATATTGATTGAATAGGAAGCCCCTCAACTGGTCACCAGTTCCCTCTACCATTCATAAGATGCATCTTTTATAAGGTTTCCTATTTTGAGCAAAACGTCACAAATTTATTGAATAGTCCCACTGCAATCGCGGAAGGGAACCCATTCCTGGCAAAGATATGTATATCAAAACTCACTTCAGCAAGCTTGCACACGTCGCCGTATCCTGCTCCGGACTTTTTGCAGTAACCAAGGTGAATAATCTGTGGTCTGGAGACGATGAAGCTCGCGACCGGAGGATTTCCAAGAGGTTCTGAGAATCAAATAATGGAGTCTAAAGCAAAAAAGAACACAGGCGAACAATTATAATCAAAAGAACTAGACGAAGTAGTAAATCCTGCTGAATAGTTCCTACTCTCACCATGTCATCCTCACATCCTAGATTACGACCTTGGGCTCCTGCTATCCTAACACCTTGAACGAGATTACCAAGGAGCATCGATGCTGGACCAATGTCAGGTTGAACTTCGCTGAAATATTTATACCGCTGAATGAATGGTAATTTTAAATTCAGGCAACTTCACCGGTACCTCCAAAATAATGGACAACTGACCGTGGTTTTGGGAGATTAATTACACAGCTATGAGGGCACATGAGTAGTGTTGACGGGTGAAGTTCACCGGCTTCAAAACGTTGCCGCGTCTCGGATACATGGATGCCACCGAGAGGTGTCTGAAAATTGCCATTCTGGATTAATTACGTCAGAATACGTTTTCTCACAAATACAGTGCAGTAGCTTCTCCACATTTACCACTCAATACCAGGCCACAGATCATTCAGCCGTAGGTAGACATTTAGTAAGTGAAAAGTGAAGAATCGGAAAAGAATGTTCAATCCACGAAAACTACATACCTTGGGCAATTGATTCGATGGTACGAGTGCAAGGCAGTATATGCCAACTTGATGAATAGCATCGACAGCTTGCAATACCCGAGACATCCACTGAAAAATTCACGTCAAATTTATAACCTTATAAAATCACCCCTGAAATTTTACCTGCCCAGGCATCTTGAACCCCTCTTGCAAAGAGTCTAATACCGCCTTGTCGAAAAAGGTTTCCACGGTGGAATCGCCTTATTTGGTCAAAGTTTCGAACTTATCAAAAATGCTCCGAAAATCCGATTCACCGTGTTGCGCCCATGACCACTCAAGTTTTCAATCTTTGTAACGTTATGCAATTCTTCCCGCTCCGATTCTACCGCTCTAGTAGCTACAGTTGCTGTCCTGTCACCATCACATTCACACCTCGAGAATGTAACCATCCAAAAGGAAAAGTCACTTACTGTGAAGGCATCTTCCTCACTAGCACCAGGCTTCTGTTCGGCCACAATCACTATCCGCTCGTCGCGAAGAACCGACACAGAGAATACAGCGATCCGTCCGCGATACACAAATCGCATCGGTTCAACGGCCAGAACCGTTGCTGAAGAGTATAGGGAATAATATCAGAATACATCAGGCATTTCTCAAAAAAAGAAACTCAATACAACAACAGACGGAATTTCAACAACGACTCGTTTCCTTTCATCCTACCACTCAAAAAAAAAAAAACTCGAAAGGCCAGTTTAAACTTAACTAATTAATTAATCTGTTAAAAAAAGTGATAACCACATAGGACACGCATAACTTAAAGCTCAGAACTTAGCTCACCAATTATATCGTCGGCCGAGTGTTGACGTCCGGAAACACTCAATTGAGCTGTCCGCCGACCAACGACGAATACAAGGCCGTCCTACAACCAACATTGTAATAGATATGTTCTCATAAACTACTGAACAGCAATAACGTACCGGACCCATGAAACCGATTAGGCCACTGCGAACATACCGCCGAGGACCAAGAGGCCTATCATCCGCGCCCAATGGCTCAATCTGAATGTTGAACGGTACTGATAAACCGAGACTAAGACAAGAATTTTCAAAAACTACCTTGAAAGTGGCTGCTGATACACCCTCCAGACCCCAATAGGCATTTCCAGTGGAGTTAGCACAAAGGCAGATCTCTCCCAGCTCATCTGCTCGGCAAAGGCGAGCAGGGCCTGTTTGTTTGACTACCACAACTGAGCCACTGGGAATCACTTGTCCAGCGTCCTAAAAGCATTACTCCATTCATAACGCTCTGCGAATATTCAATCTGGCAAATTACTTGTAGAAAAAAATTCTGGTTCAAAAAAGGTAACAGAAACGGCGAGGCTCATTTTATTCCCCGTTTTGAGACTTTATGTCAGAGCGATCCGACAAAAATGAACCGAGCTAATTTTCGAACTGGGGTCTCCCCTAGAAAAAAAAATACCAGGTGTGAAAAAATCAGCCAACCATCGTCTCAGTCGAGTCGCGGTGATAAGTCGGCCCCACAATGAAAAGTCCCCTATAGGAAAATANATGACCACGCTCAACGAGGAAAGCACCAATTCGCTCTGCTCTTCTACAAGTAAAGAATATTGATAGAATAGGAAGCACTTCAAACTGGCCACCAGTTCCTTCTACCATTCATAAGATGCATATTTTATAAGGTTTCCTATTTTGAGCAAAGTGTCACAAATTTTTGAATAGTTCCACTGCAATCGCGCAAGGGAACTCATCCCTGGCAAAGATATGTATATCGAAAACTCACTTCAGCAAGCTTGCACACGTCGCCGTATCCTGCTCAGGACTTTTTGCAGTAACCAAGGTGAATAATCTGTGGTC